GGAAATGAATGAGTTGGGTTTTTAATTATTTTTGGCTTTCTATTCAAATATTTAATGAGTTGGGGATGAATTTTGTAGGTGCAAAGTGTGTGCAGCAGCTAAAGTGTATGGGACATTGCTGAATGCTTTTCTGTAATCAATGTATGCCATGTATATGTTTCTGTGTTGCATATGAACTTGCTATAGGATAACAGAATCAATGAGTATTATTATTATTATTTTAGATATTTATGAATTAAATTTGTATGATTAATTTAGATCATTAATAATGACCTGAATCAAAATAATATACACCTGTCCCTCTTTTTACATGGTCTATTTTTACACAATTTTGAAATAACACATTTGATAAAAAAAAACTAATCCTCTTTATATGCGATTGACTTTTTTAAATAAACTTCAATTTGAATTTTTCAAATAAACTGTTTATTTGAAAAATTTTAAATTATATATCACACTAACCTTATATATCAGATCTACAAGAAGATCACTCAAACAATGCCTCCATGAGCATAAAACCGATATTGAAAAGAAGAAAAGCACTACCACCTTAGTTATATATGCCAGTGAAAATGGCATTACTCCCAAATTACAGCAAGCAACCATGATCCAACAAACTCATATACACCAACTTAGGAATTTGGAGGCATTAGAAATTTTTAAAGTGGAATGCCGGGGCCTTTCAATCAATTTTAAAGACAAAAACAACTCTTGAGGGCATGACAGGCTATGTATGAACTGGTGTTATAACAGCCAACACAGGCGCACATTGTTAGAAATTTAAAATTTAAAAAGGAAATTAGAAGACATCACAAACAGAATTGAATGGAATCATACTAGAAAAGGGTTTTCTCTAGTAGAACTCCATCTGAAGAAGGTCCTAGGGTAACCTTAAAATGCTTTGCAGATATTTTTTAAAATATCTGCAAAGCATTTTAAGGTTAGTGTGATATATTTGTCAACACTTTATTAGATTGATTTTAAATTTATCTTTTTGTTAAAATTATGTTATTGTTAATGAAATTATTCTTTTTGTTGAAAGATTGGTTTCAAAATTATATGTTTTTAAATTGAGAGTTCACTTATTTTTTAACCACAGTAAAGTACAGTATGTTGATTTTGTGTTTCCAACTCTACCTTGTGTTTACCATATTTATGTATAAATGATGTTAATGATAAATGTTGTTAGAATAAAAAAGCATGATATGTTACTGAAAAAAGACAATAACTTTTAATCATTTGCATTTCTCTGTCACCTCTATCAGTCCTGCAATGTACACATGGCTATGCACATTCCTACANAAATCTTTAAAAATAATAAAGCTAGTGGCACCAATGACACTAGCTTTATTATTTTTAAAGATTTAATTATACTTTTAAAAAGTTTCATATCTATCTGAATATAGTCATCTTTCATATTGTCTTGTATGTCTCAATTCTCTGTGTTGTAAAAATTAAATCCGTTCAATTTGTGCAATAAAGTCTTAATTTTCTAGCTGGAAGTGCTGTGAGACTGTCAACCAAACTGATTTTTGGATTAAAGTGACTAACTATATATGTAGTACGATCCAAAAGTTTGGGGACTTGGCTTAAAATTCCTTACCTTAAAAAGTTTATATTGCCGATGCATATTGACTTTTAACCACAGTAAAGTACAGTATGTTGATTTTGTGTTTCCAACTCTACCTTGTGTTTACCATATTTATGTATAAATGATGTTAACAATAAATGTTGTTAGAATAAAAAAGCATGATATGTTACTGAAAAAAGACAATAGCTTTTAATCATTTGCATTTCTCTGTCACCTCTATCAATCCTGCAATGTACACATGGCTATGCACATTCCTACACAATGTTGCAATTTTATTTTGAGGAGTGTATTTATTATTAAAACATTGTATTGAGTACAAAACATTTATGCATTTCATGGTCACTATTGTTATCGAATTACAAATTTAAGTTATTTAATTATACTTAGCTCTCTGCATCTGCACGATGGATATGTTCCAAAGAACATTGTGTAAAAAAGTACAGTATATATCAATACATCCTGAAGAAAAATGCTTGATAAGATCCAAAATAAGCAATTTACAAAAGAAATGCATGCATTATTATTAATTTAATTAAATATTCCATTACTGATTTTGTTGTGGATTTTAAGGGATTAAGTTTGCATACACATTGAGTCATGTGGTACCCAGTTTTGGGCTTTAAAGATAAGCAGCTGGCTTGGCCTGTAAATACTATCAGCAATAGTTTGTGGCAGCTTAACTTTTGAAAAAGTGTAGAAAATGCCTCTGATGACAGTGAGCTGAATATCACCAGTTAATGACTGGGAAATGAGACAATATCCTAGAGCTGCCTGACCTCAGTTTGTTGATGCATGCAGTTACCACATGAGTTGGGCACAGCGGAGTACCATCCACCAATGTGTGATACGATGGATGCAGGAACATTTTCGAACACATCAAAGAGAGTGAACCCCAGCTAACAGCAGAGTGCACAGACTGGCAGATTCGTTGAACGGTCCATTGGGACCCGTTTGCCATGGCACCAGACATCTGAAATTGCCTTTCACCACTGACAATGCATCTGTATTCACCATACCATTTGCAACACATTGCATGAAATCAGGCTGCACACATGGCAACCAGCAACAGGGGTGCCATTAACTGTTCAAAACAGGCCTCATGCCCAGCATGGTGTTGTCATTATCACAGTTGGACCACTGAATGACATCAGGTACTGTTTATGGATGAATCCAGCTTCTTCTGTATAGGAATGACAACCATGGATGGATGTGGCAATATCTTGGGGAATAGTAGTAGTTAAATAAAGTTGACGTTTTAGAAAAATCGTGAGTATACGCAGTGCAACTAGAAAGTAACGAGGATAATTGAGAAGTATATAGGGGCAACGACAAGAATGCTCGCTTGTTGTATCGCAGAACACCAGGAAGATATAAACAAATGAAGACAGACCACAGAGCTCGCCAGAAAAGTTCTACAGCAGGTCTAACCCATTATGGTCAAAGACAGCATTGCTTAAGCACTGTAATAATAGAAGGATTACATTTATTTGGGAAGCGCTCCTCACAATGTCCACGGACGCATGCAACGTCCCTACCCTTGACTTGCCCGAAATATGGGTTACTTTATACCAGCGTTTAAACAACAAAATGCATCAAGAATCGCACAATTAGTATGATCACTCCTCAATGCATGCGCTGCTAGTTGAGTAGATTTAAGATCTTTCGAACACTCACAAAAGCTTGTTGCATGTTACCAACGGAATTACCGAACGTTATAATTTTAAAATTGACAAGAAAAATTTACCGTTTTCTACTTGGAACACACTGCACGTTCTGTTTTTCAAATTTATTGCTTTTCACCTGAAGATGACGATATAATACTCGTTGCAAGTACTCACGATATAAGAAAATCGTGTTAATGCTGAACTCAGTGCTTTTTATCAAGAAGTCTTGGGGAATGCCACATGCCAGCCCTTTTAGCTGAGCATCACACCAGTCATAATGCCCGACTTCACATAGCACGGCAAACTTTCACCAGCTCAAATAGAATTCACATCTTTCCCTGGTCAGATCTCTCTCCCATTGAACATCCATGGGACCTTGTCTGACATGAGATGCACCGGGGACCATTGCTACATACCATAGACGACATGCATTCCACAGCTGATTTAGCTTGGCAAGGGATACATCAAGCAACCATTAATTGCCTCGTTGATAGTATACCTCACTGTATAGTGGCCTGTATAGCCATATAACAAATATGCCCATGGGTGCCATATTCATTACCGAATAAACAGGTGTCTGTTGCATATCTTTGTTCTTTTAATCATTTGCATATGTCTCTCACCTCTATCGTTTCTGCAATGTGTATGTGGCTATGCACATTCCTTTGTGTTGCAATTTCACTTTTGAGGAGTGTAGAATTGTCTGAATTAATTGCAGTCTTCACCTGTTGAATATCAGAATTGGAACACTTAAAATATCAAAGTACTTGGATTACAAATTTAAGTTATACAATAGTTATTATAGTTGCAATTTACATTTTTCTCTATATATTTTAAAAGATTACCAATAAACTACATATTTCTATCAGCAACAAATTATTAAGCTTCCTGTAAGTGAGATTAATATTAAGTGTTTATTTATTATTTCTTTCTCTGTTGTGAGCAATGCAGAATTCTAAGATGTTTTATTATAAAATTGTGCCTTTCCAAGATGTATCAAAATTAAATTGAGGGAAATGAAAATAAGTTTGTCATACTTTCATTTCTTTCAATACATTAATACATTTTGCTACCAGTTTAGTTTCATACATTATCAAAATATGATGTATATATTTATTCATTTTTGGCATTACAATAAAGTCACTCTTAAATGGTTTACATTCCAAATCTCACTCTTGCCTGTATTTAAAGTTTTGAATGCCATGAACTTCTAACTTCACATTAATTATTTATCAAAATTTTATTAATTTTGCCAAAATACAGAACAGTTGAAATTTTTCCAACAGTTAAAATTTCATCTTTACTGTGTGTCAAAACATAGAATGTGTAACTAAATACAGAAATAATATTTTACAGTTCAGAAGGCTTTAAAATTCTAAAAAGGAATCTGTCCAAAATTAAGCAATTGAAAATAGATACCTTAAATTAATTAAATTATTTGCTTTTATACAACTGTTATGGTATAGCTATTTATTTGTCTATATTGTAATCATTTTTTATTCTTGTTTGTCTTGTATTTAATTGTTTATTAACACTTCATCATATGAGAGAGGCTTTGTCATGGTGCCTCAAGAATGTTGTGTATATACAGTATATCTTAGGGCACAATATTGTATAAAGAATAAAATTGTGTGAATTGTGTATTGAAAAATTACAGATTAAATTATAAATTATATTTACATTGTTTTTTACTGCTTTCAAATTTTAAATGCAAGCATATTTAGAAAAATATTTTAATTTATTAGGTACTGGACTAGAACCTCGATAGAAGAACCAGAAGAAAATGGGAAAATTGCTGTTTAGGATAGCATAGTGCTGTCCTTCCACCATCCAGTTCAGCCACCGACAATTTATTATAAATATAGAAAATTTTTTTAACAAGAAGGAATACTATGCGAAGACAAGAAGTTTATTCAGTGCAGACGAAGCTCGCACAATATTTTGATTTACAATAAACTTAAAACTGCATGCACATCTTATTATATTAACAGATTTCTAATATGTAATGCGCTTCGTAAATTATGAAACAGGCGAAAGCAGTTTGTTTCCGTATTAGATATAGATATGCCCCATTTCTTTTTTGATAATTATTGATATAATTATTTTTATAACGAAACGTGAAGCGTTTGTTAAGATCCATTTCCTTTTTTTTAGGTGAGAAAAATATAAAATCACGTCAAGGATTACGCTGCAGTGTATGTTACAACGTATTTCCCACAAAATACAAGTTGGTGTGTCACACCAGGGTTCACACGGGAGAAAAGCCATTTCAGTGCGAGATCTGCGGCAATAAATTCGGTCAGAAAGCGTATTTAGTCAACCACCAGAGAGTTCACACGGGACTGAAGCCCTTCGAGTGTCGAGACTGCGGCCAGAAATTCAGAGATTCTCCCTCCCTGAGAAAGCATCACCGCACTCACACCGGCGAGAAACCCTTCGAGTGCTCTGTCTGCTCGGCCAAGTTCAGTCGCAAGGAAAGCCTGAAGATTCACTTACGAAGTCACACGGGCGACAGACCCTTCGTCTGTAACGTGTGCGGAATGGCGTTTATGAGCGGGTCTCACAGGAGAAGACACGAATTGCGGCACGTGAAAAAAGAAAAGTGAATTCCGAAAGATCCGAATTAAATACTGAATTAAAATTTTATAATGTTCATATTCCTCTGTGTTAAGAATTTCGAAATATTCTCCGCATTGTAACAGACTTGACTTTGAAGAATACCAATGTAAGTACACGGAAAATAAGGTAATACGTAATAAATATTTCCCCTTTTATCGTGCCACGTACTTAATTATCATCCTACGAAACACAATTTAAAATACGACGTAATAATTTAGGACAAATTCGTATTGGGAAACTCCGTCAACTTTGATCTAGCGATCCAGAAGTTTGGTCGGCACCTCACTGATAACCAGAAACGGTTAAGTTTAAAATTTGGGCTTCTGGACACGGTAGTTTTTCTCTACGAGCGTCTTCGTTGCCGGACGAAGTGTGAAGAAAGAGGAGGAGGAGAAGAAAATACAGCTTTTCTCGCGATGTTTGCACTTTTCGATTGCTTATATTTCGGCAACCGCGTTATAGAAAATATTGAAATTTTGTATCCTACCCAAGAAAACAATTCACTTTCGAACAAGACATTCGGAATTACTCGTACTTCGATGTTCGGAGGACGGAGAGAGAGCGACCCCGAAAATCGGCAATTCTGATTTCCGTATAATATACTCAGTAGGGACTTTTAGCAATAGTGCACCGAGAAATAATCTACAGGTCGAAGAGCGTAGCGCCATACAGTGGTACCTCAGGATACGACATGAAATTCGAACATATTTTTGCTCCAAGATACGAACAAAAACTCACCATACGTCGTTACATTAGTTCGCAGCGCCATTTTTTATTCGCTTCTGTTCATTGGATCTCAGTCCGCGCGTTTGTTTTGTCGTGGAAGGATCTCGCTCGATAAAGGAAATCTCGAGGTATTATCAGAAAGTGGACGATTTTATTGAAAAGAAACATCCCGAAAATGATCGCACTGGCCGTATTGCTGCCCGAAGTAACGACATTTGCTTAAGTCATTTTAGAAACATTTTAAAAAGTAGGCAAAGCCAAACAAACCTCTTCGGATAGATATTTTACCGAGTTACCTCTGTCCAGTGGAAGTGAAGGAAAGAAAGCAAAAAGCAGTGAATAAAAATTTAAAAAATATATATATAAAACAACAATAATTTTTAAAATCTTTTCTAAGTTATTTTTAAGTTATTGTTACATTATGTTATGTAAGTTAAGTTTTAGTATCATTTCCCTTCTCCCTCTCCTCCGCCACCAGTTTACATCTCCACCGTCGTCTATCCTCGAAGGTAAAGTGCAAATAAAACTACTTTTTTTTTATCAATTATTATTCTATTATGGTTATTTATACATTTACCAGCGCTGTCCAACTTATCATAGCCCGCGGGCCATATTTTCTTCACCAAACATTTCGGGGGCCAAGAAGGTTGATAAACCACAAGACATTTGCATAGTGATACGGTTCAGTAAGCACTAATTGGTCAGCGAGTCCGATGTTGACGCTATAAAAAGGCGACAGTTCGACACACTGGATATACGTCACTCTCATCTAAGTTTGACTTGGGAATTTTTTTGTTCAATAACAAATGTGAATTCTTCTTCCTGGAAAAAATAAGACATTCCCTGAAAATAAGACCTAGCACATTTTTCAGAGCAAAAATTAATATAAGACACTGTCTTATTTTCGGGAAAACACGGTAGTAAAATAATTTTAATATTAATAATAATAATTTAGTAACAAATTTATTCATAGTAAAATGTACTCTCGGGCCGTAAAAATTGTTTGGCGGGCCGTATACGGCCCGCGGGCCGCCAGTTGGACAGCGCTGCATTTACAACTACAAAACGCATTTTTCAGTGTTTTCCTTACTAAAGTTTTTTTTTCAATGTACTACTTAGCTTTAATTTGAGTGTTTTTCGTGTTGGAACGAATTATTTGGTTTTACATGTACAGTAATCGTATGGGGAAAAATGACCTTACGACATTTTCATGATACGATCTCAGTTTCGGAACGGGTTAATTTCGTATCCTGAGGTACCACAGTACTCCTACAACGCGGTAGATACGTTCCTTGAAAATATCGCGTTGTGGGAAATCGCGTTATAGGAGACACCAACTTAATACAAAAACTGGGATTCGGTTCTAAAAAGAGAAAAACTTGGCGATTGAGCGTTTTTTGAATTTTTCAAACCAGCCATTGCTAGCCACGAATTTAATACTGGTCTCAGTATTAAATTTGTTTTATAGTTTTGTACAAGTGTTGTGTCACTTCTAATCAATACCTTTTTTTATAATTAAGTAGACTATGTTTGAATAGATATTGCTCATCTAATTGATTGCCTTTTAATTATACTTTAACCATTAATATACTTGAATAATAATTCTAAATCAGTTTGGCCTAGGTCAAACTAGTTAAGCCTAAGGTATTTAGACCAAACCAGATTGTCCTGGGCTAAACTAGTATATCCGTAGGATAAACCCGTTTGGCCTAGGACAAACTAGTATATATATATATAACAAAATATTAAGAAACAAAAAATGGGTAAGATTAAGACAGTTCTCGATAAANTGAAATGACCTTACGACATTTTCATGATACGATCTCAGTTTCGGAACGGGTTAATTTCGTATCCTGAGGTACCACAGTACTCCTACAACGCGGTAGATACGTTCCTTGAAAATATCGCGTTGTGGGAAATCGCGTTATAGGAGACACCAACTTAATACAAAAACTGGGATTCGGTTCTAAAAAGAGAAAAACTTGGCGATTGAATAGCGTTTTTTGAATTTTTCAAACCAGCCATTGCTAGCCACGAATTTAATACTGGTCTCAGTATTAAATTTGTTTTATAGTTTTGTACAAGTGTTGTGTCACTTCTAATCAATACCTTTTTTTATAATTAAGTAGACTATGTTTGAATAGATATTGCTCATCTAATTGATTGCCTTTTAATTATACTTTAACCATTAATATACTTGAATAATAATTCTAAATCAGTTTGGCCTAGGTCAAACTAGTTAAGCCTAAGGTATTTAGACCAAACCAGATTGTCCTGGGCTAAACTAGTATATCCGTAGGATAAACCCGTTTGGCCTAGGACAAACTAGTATATATATATATAACAAAATATTAAGAAACAAAAAATGGGTAAGATTAAGACAGTTCTCGATAAATAAAACAAACAAAAAAAAACAGCTGCCATGTTGCAAGTATCTGTATATATCGAGTATTATTATAGTATTTATAAGTATCTATATATATTTTATTTGTAATAGGATTTTGTTATTGATATGAATTTATTATTTATACCACGGAATGGCACCGCTGCTACTAGAACGCTCACTAGGGAGCGTTCCGGGCTATTAGTATCCTGCGTTTCTTTATGCAGCGCTCGAGAAGCGCTTTACAGCGAACACACTGAAACTGGTTTCTAATTGGCCAACACTGCTCGTGACGTCATTTTGCTACACACTCGCTGCATAAAGAAACGCGGGGTATTATATAAATTATCAAAATACGCAGAGCCAATGCGAGTGTCGTAAGAAATGTGATTTCTCGTGTCAAAAATACAAAAGTATTTCATCCAAATACTATTTTTCACTATGCCGAATCAAGTAAAATTGTATAGCACACTATTGTGACCTTTCGGGCCGGCACCTCTTTGGTGCCCTGTCAGGATTGACACCACCGTGTTTATCGGAACACGGAAACCGAGACGGCGATTACGTCACACCGTCACGCGAGCGGTCCCGTAAGTGGACAGACGGATTCGTAATGTCGGATCGAGAGACAACATAAGGAAGTGACTCGCACTACAATTCAAACGTAACAAAGATTTAATTAAAAACATTGTTCATTAGGTACGATACAGAATTCTAAGATTATGTCGCGGAGAGAGAGAGTTTACAGAACGAGCGCGAGTTGTATAAATACCTGGGGATAATATGGCTGTCCTCGTAGGCAAAAATTCGGTTGATTGTTGGTTGATGATGTCCAATGAGCATTGAGACTTGTTCGGATGATGATTAAGTTCACGATAATATTCACAGCACAATGATGGCACAAAGTATCCAACAAAGATGGGCACTGATCGATGATATTTTGATATCCGAGATATTGGATGATATTGGGATTAAACGGTGTGGGGTTTCTGTGTCGGAAGGACGGACGACGACTTTCTTCTCCGAGGACTAAAACGGCGACTAACTCTTTTCGGCCGTCTCTGGTGATATTCACGTGATTTCGGCCGTGCAGAGGTTAATAGTTCACGAGAAAGCGTCATGTTGCCTTCGAGAAAACGTAACGGGAGACTTTCTCAGGTAGCTAAGAACAACAATTGTTGCGTAACTCGCGAAATGTTAATATTAGAATAGTTCTAATATACGAATTTATGCTATCTCACACTATGTAGTGTTAAAGTTAATAAATTATTTTAAGAATAGTTTGTCTTTATCATACATACGTAATAAAATAAAACAGTAAAATGCAATAAGTTAATTGAAGACACAGACTGTCCAAAAAATAAAAAAACAATTTTTTTTGGTAGACACCATTCCCCAATGGAAAGGATGAAAAACATGAAGATGGCTGTAAGACCCATGAACTCTAAGTTGAAATTTATAATTTTAATTAGATATTTTTCTGTGTTTTTTAAAGGAATGTTTGTAAATTTGACGGCCAAGTAGCCTAAAAAAGAAGGTCAGGTCATCAAAAAGTTTTTGTTCTGGAACACGTGAAGTGAATAAATGGTGTCTACCAAAAAAACAAAAAAAAATTTTTTTTTATTTTTTGGACAGTCTGTGTCTTCAATTAACTTATACAAAATTAATATCATCCGACGAAATTCCAAGATAAAAAGAAAAAAAAAGTAAAAACATGAAGATGGCTGTAAGACCCATGAACTCTAAGTTGAAATTTATAATTTTAATTAGATATTTTTCTGTGTTTTTTAAAGGAATGTTTGTAAATTTGACGGCCAAGTAGCCTAAAAAAGAAGGTCAGGTCATCAAAAAGTTTTTGTTCTGGAACACGTGAAGTGAATAAATGGTGTCTACCAAAAAAACAAAAAAAAATTTTTTTTTATTTTTTGGACAGTCTGTGTCTTCAATTAACTTATACAAAATTAATATCATCCGACGAAATTCCAAGATAAAAAGAAAAAAAAAGTAAAAGCAAATTTATTTACTTATTTTACCAATATCTATGTAT